ACTACCTATCAGGTTACACTAAGCCGGATGTGTGTAAACAAGGGCAAAAAAGTAGTGCCTCTAAGATGTCTTTAATTATTCACAAAGTACAAAGGTCACATGTATTTTCTTCACCTAAAAAAAAAAAAGTTTCTCCCTTCTTAAATTTCACTAATTTTCACTGACAATGCTTCTAACACTAATTTTATCTCTAAGTACTTAAGGAAAAAGCATTTCTTATGTTAATCACCTTACCCCAATCTTGTCCTTTTTTACTAAAGTGCTAGTAAATACTAGTTCAATAGTTGATAAGTGGGCCTTGATGTTATTTGCCCCACTTGTGACCCTCTGAACTTTCACATTTGTTCTGGTAATCAAAATTTATGCCAAATTAAGTGTTTTGCATTACTCCTGAAGCAAAGAAAAAGACACTTACATGTAGTTTCAAGGTAGAAATGACCCTTCTTTTCCCTTTTCTCTTCCCTGCCTTCAATGAAATGAAATTTTCTGCAACTAACCCAGGAAAAATTCTAATAACATTGACAAACATGATTTTTCAAAACTTGCAAACAAAGAAATATGAAGTTATAGAAACCTGTATGTTCTCTTTTCGTTGTTCTTATTTGAGGCAGGGTCTAGCTATGGAACTAACTATGGCCTGGAACTCACTATGTAGCCCAGGATGGCCTCAAAAAATGTGCAATGATCTTCCTGCCTCAGGCTGAGTGCTTCTACTTAAATATCCTACATAAAAAACTGAGTAAGGTAGAGCAAAAAAGGCCTCTAATAAATACTAGGTCTAGGGAGGCTGAAAAAAGGAAGTCCATGCATGAGTTTACTGCTACCCAGAGCTGGAGTAAGATAAGAGCTTGCCTTACCAATAAAAAAAAAAAAAAAAAGGCGTGATGACACACCAGTAGTTGGGAGGCAAAGGCAGGCAGGTGAATCTCTATGAGTTCAAGACCAGCCTGGTCTACATAGTGAATTCCAGACCAGCTGGGGCTACAAGGGAAACCCTGTCCCAAAAAGACCAAAAAAAGAAAAAAAAAAAACCCACAAAGGGGTGGGGGATGATAGGGTATGCCTTTAAACCCAGCACTCCAGAGGCAGAAGCAGACAGATCTCTGTGAGATCCAGCCTGGTCTACATAGCGAGTTCCAGGCCAGCTGGGGCTACAGGGAAACCCTGTCTTAATAAAACCAAAAAATAATAATACGAGAGTACACACACACACACACACACACACACACACACACACACACACACACACACGCATACACAAAAGGTCAGAGAGATTGCTCAGACAGTAAAAGTTTGACAAACTGAGTTCCATCTCCAGAACCCATCATCTTGGGAACCCACCATATGGTGCATCGATAATCCCAGCATACCCATGCTGAGATGGCAAGCAGAGGTGGGAGAGAGATTCTGTCTCAACAAGGTGACTCTGGGAAGTTATCCTCTGACCTCCACACACTCGTAACCATGGCTCCCAAATGCCCACATTCATGCACGTGTACATTCACAAAAAAATAAATAAAATAAATAAAAAGTTAAAATGAAGAGCCAATGGCACACGCCTTTAGTCCAGCACTCAGGAGGCAAAGGTTGGCAAATCTCTGTGAGATCAAGGTCAGCCTGGTCTACATAGCAAGTTCCAGATCAGCTGGGGCTACAGAGAGACCCTGTCTCTAAAAATAAAAATAAAAATAAAATTTAAAAGGAAGAAAAAAAGATAACATGGATCAAAAAAGGCCAAAATCAGAAAATAATTCATAAAGCAATGAAGATTAAAATCTTGAATCTAAAAGAACTAAACAAATTTCTGTTGCTTAAAGAATGGTACTGTTTTTAGATTCTATTCAACTACATCTAAATAGAAGTTATAAAGTTTTGATCAGTTATGTCCTACTGTTTACACAAATTTTTAAATCCCTATCAAATACAAATAAAGGGATTTAGCATTGCAAAATCTGTCTTGATGTGTAGATTTCAATTCAATTTGCAAATTAAAAATAATCTTTTGGAGAACTCATTCATCTGTCTAAAGAGTTTTTAATGATTCATATTTTAAAAACTACTACTTGGGTTTTTGTTTTCTTTTCTTTCTTTTTTTATTTTGGTCTTTTTGAGACAGGGTCTCCCCGTAGTCCCAGCTGGTCTGGAACTCACTATGCAAACCAGGCTGACCTTAAACTCAGAGATCCGCCTGCCTCTGCCTCTGCCTCTGCCTCCAGAATTGCTGGGATTAAATGTGTGTGCCGCCATGCCCGGCTCCGGTTTTCGTTTTCTTTGTATACCATTTATTTCTAAAACTATTGCGGTTTTGTTTTGTTTTGTGGTGGTTCTAGGATAAAACTTATGGCTTCATTTCAAGTATGCTAGACTATCACTCTACCACTAAATTATACTCCACCCCCTGGCTTTTGCAAAATATCACCAAAGCATTATTGGCAATTTCTGTATTTTACAGTTTTGTTCTAAAATTCACTTTCAAATATTTAATAATTTCTGTCAATAAAACAAATTGGATCAAAGAGCATAGTGGTGCACACCTTTAATTCCAGCACTCAGGAGTTAGAGCAGGCGGATCTCTGTGAGTTCTAGACTAGCTGGGGCTACAAGGGGGGCCCTGTCTAAAAAAAAAAAAAAAAAAAAAAAAAAAAAAAAAAAAGAACATGTAGCTTCATAAAAGAAAAGAAAATGAATAGAGCTGGGTATGGAGGCAGGCACCTGCAGTCAGTTCCAAGGAGATAGAGGCAGAACAATCCAATGTCCAGGCCAGCGAAAGCCTCAAAAGAAGACTCTCAAAAAGTCAAAAGTTGGCACAAGCCTGTAATCCCAGATGAGGTAAGAAAGACCAGGCAATTTAGCAAATTCAAGGACAGCCTAATTTAGCAAGACCATGTCTCAAAGATGGGGTTGGGGGAGGGCAAGGAGGGAAGGAAGGAGGAAAGGAAATGAATGGAAGCTTCCTAAACACAAGTTAACTTCAAGTGCAATTCTCCACAAAGTTGACAGTCACCTATGTGCTAATCAACCAATGGTACACAGAAGAGCACTTTGCTAGTAATTTGGCAAAAGAATACTTTCTTTAGGTAAACTGCAAACCATCTAGAAATGAATGACATTTAATCCCAGGTTACACTATAAAGTGAATGAGCTAAGTAACACCATTTGATAGCTCTTGTTTTAAAAGTGAATCAGAAACAGTTTAGTAATGTACAAGGAGACACGTCCTTAGTGTTTGAGTTCTCTTAAAAGCAAAAGCCAGGTGTGGTGGCACAGGCCTTTAATCCCATCACTCGGGAGACAGAGGCAGGCGGATCTCTGTGAGTTCAAGGCCACCCTGGTCTACTTAGTGAGTTCCAGGACAGCTGGGGCTACAGAGAGACCCTGTCTCAAAAAAACAAAAAAAAAAAAAAAAAAAAAAAAAAAAAAAAAAAAAGCAAAAGAAAACTGTGCACAACTTCAGAGCAATAAAAACTCACTAATATCTAACAGTAATTAATATAGTGTTGAAAGAACTCCTTAGAACAAATACCAAGAGCAGAGAATATACTGAAAAATACTAAGTCTGCTGAGACATTGTATGACCTGTAAAGAATTTATAGTTTCATTTCAATAGTTTAATAAGAATGATGCATCCAGTATATTGCTTACAAATGTGAAAAGATTTGACTTGGTTTAATTTATAAACTTTAATTCCAAGTCACTTAACTGTGATCTCAAGTAAGTTCTTGTGCAGATTTAAAAGCTTATAAAACAGTGGTGATTCAACCACACTCACCTAACTTGAAATGTAGGAAATAATCTGCGAATTATTGTGAAATTCTTTTATTCAAGCATGCTGGACTATATACACTTTTAGAACTAAAAGAGATTATCAGCACCTTGAGGATCCATACGTTTCAAATCAAAACTTCAGGGACATTACTGTCTGGTAAGTACTATGGGCAAGAGTGGAAATGAATGTTTAAAATCCAACTACCCCGAGAAAAACCAATAAATGAAGCCAGCAAAGACCATTACTACACAAACACCTGAGTTAAGATTGCTAAGAAAGCATTCGGCACTCTCCTGTTAATTAATCCCTATAGCAACCAAAAAAGTTATTCTCCTTTCAACCTACGTCAGAATTATATTCTCCGCGGACAAATTTCCGTGCTCAGACATACACAATACCCAGAAAAACACAAAATTATCACTAAGTATCCAAATTCGCAGTGTTCAGCACTGAAAGGCAATTCAGAAGATATCTAACAGCTCCTTTCCACCAAGTCATTTAGTCTGTTTTAAATACAAATTACTGTTCAAGTACACGCTGAGTGGTTCGACGGATTTCTACCACCAAGCCCTACCCGGAAAGCATATAACCAACCCGACACTTCAGAGCCAGGAGGAAGATCCGGAGAATTATTAGAAACTGGCGCCCGCAGAACCATGAGTTGGGCAGAAGGGGAGAAACAGTGCAGTCGCAGGTGAATTGATAAAAAAATGAAAGAAAAAAGGCGGAAACAATTGGACAAGAAGTTAGTTGGAAGGTTAGAGGGAGGCGAAGCCGAGGTCCGGCTCCGAGAGGTCGGCACTGCAGGGGCAGGCAGCGATGAACGCAAGCAGGTGGAAACGCAGCGAGTTCTCAGATGTGATTCGAGTACACAACACGAGAACGCGGAGACGTGGCTCCCGGAGGACACGCGGGGGTGGGGCCCGCCCCGCTAAGCCCTGAATGAGCTTTCAAAGGAGGATCGCAGCCTGAGAAAGTCAACGGGTTCCCGGAGGCCCCACCACGCCACCGCAGGGGCGGCTGCAGCGCGAAAGCTCCGGGGGTCGGCCCTCTAAAAGTCCAAGGAAGCCCTGGGGCTCCCGGCCCCTTCTGGCCCAACCTCGGTCCTCCTGTCCTCACCCCCCACCGGCTGGGACCGGACCCCTGCAACGGACAGGAAGCTTCTAGCCGTGCGCTCGTAGCCGCGGCGGGTCCCAGGGAACAATCTGCTCCCAGCGCCGCGAGTGACACTCACCGGCCCGAAACCTCGAAGGAAACCAGCAGCTTCGGGGGCGGCGGCAACAGTGGCAGCAGGAACCGAACATCCAAAATGGCGGCTCCCTCGGCCTCACCACCGCTACTGCAGGCGGAGGGATCCCGGGCAGGGAGCGAGTTTCGAAGTCACTTCACACACTCTCGGAAAGACGTCGATCCCCAGCTCCCTCTCCTCGTCCGCCCCGCGTCCCTTGACTACAACTTCTCCGGCTTCCCACCTCGGAAGACTCGCGAACTCGGACCCTGCCGAGGACTATTTGCCAAGGAGGAGGCGACTGCTCTGGGCAGAGCGACGCAAAGCTTAGCAAGGATCGGGGCTGTCACTGATGACGCTAGACGCGGCTGCCGAGTCACCGCTGCGAGGAGTCCGAACTAGAAGATCCGGCGGTCCCTCCAGAGACCGAGCACTTTGGTTCCGCTTGTGCCGGAGAGCGCTGGGCTACCAGGAAACGGTGGCACCACCTGAGGGGGCGGGACTAGGCAAAGTAGCTGGGGAAGTCTGGAAGGCCCGGCAGGTGGGAATGCAGAAAACTGGCATTTAATCCTAGAAAATCCCCAAATCGGTCCTGTTACCTTTGAGACCTTAGCTTTCTGTTCAACTTTTAGAATCATGCTCCAAGTGGTCTTGGGTTCTATGGTTTTATGGCATCTTTACCACGAATTTTACAAAAAGAGCTAGAAGATGGAGCAGAAGAATGGATTCCAAGCACAGTAGCACCCCTCGTGTGCTGGACAAGACATTTAAACTTTCCAACGCTTCAGTTACCTCATAAGTGAAAAGAAAATTTAGACAAATGATAGCTAAAATTCTTGCAGAATGGGCTTTCAGTCTATTGTTGCATAAACTAATCACCGGAGCCAAAGAAAGTCTAACCAGACAGTTCCTGGCTTGATAAATAATTACTAACATGTGACAGGAGTCTTTTCCATGTGAACTCAGAGGTCCTTGATCTCTTAGCCCATTTAAAGGAAAGGTGACCTGCCTAGAATAAAATCTTTCCGATAGATTGGCAACAAAGTCCTCCTGAATGTGAATAAAACACAGAACTGGACTGAATGCCAAAGATAAAGAACCAAGTGCAAATCTTGAGTTTGAGACTTGAATGTCATAAACAGGAAGTTGCACCTTTTTCCCTAGGCAGTCGTTTTTCATGCAAGGATTTCAAAACACTTTACAGAAGTTGAACTGGGACTATACATCTGTACAATTTTGTCCTTTAATTTCTGGGGCCATGCCAGATGGCTGCAAAGAGAACTCCAAGGGCATGATCATAGCCAATGATCATTTTTTTGACCAAATATTGGTATCACATTGTTCATAAGGTACCTTGATATGTATATAACTAACCCTCTAGGCAATCTCTTGAGTCAGAGTAAGTAATTTAGTTTTACCAAGAAAGAGACTTAAAACTCAGAGAAACTGAGGCTGGAGAGATGCACTGTTAAGAGCACTGGCTACTCTTGCAGAAGACCCAGGTTCGATTCCCAGCACCTACATGGTGGCTCACAACTGTCCTAGCTCTAGTTCCAGGGGATCCAACACCCTCTTCTGACCTCTACAGGCATTGCACAACACAGTGCACATACAGACATGGAGGCAATACATAAAATAATATGCATGTAAAATATTTATACACATAAAAATATTTTTTTTTAAATTCAGGTTGGGCATGGTGGCACAAGTCTTTAATCCCAGCACTCAGGAAGGAGGCAGAGGCAGGCAAATCTCTGTGAGTTCAAAGCCAGCCTAGTCTACATAGTGAGTTCAAGGCCAGCTGGGTGTACAGGGAAACCCTGTCTCAAAAAGACCTTACTAAAAGTCTGACTTCCTCACTGGATTTCTGCCATGAGATGCCACCTGACATTAGAAAACCCACCATACCCAAGCACACAAACTCAGAGTGGAATCAACTCAGAGCAAATGGTTTGGAAAACAAATGCTTATGAAATTCAGATCCCCCTGTCCTGCTGCTGCACATGTGTACAATGCAACCCTAGATCACATAATTAGTAAATAGCCTAAAACTAGAACACCATAATATTTGCATAATACAGAACACTCTAAGCCGTAGCTGTGCATGAAACATGCCAAATTCAGTGTCTACAAGAGAAGTTTACAAGTTGCAAAGCAGAGTTTGCCTAAGTGTGCCATTTGAAACATCATTAAAATAGCTTGAGCCCAAATTAAGTATTTTCCATAGCAGGTCTGGAACTCTCTCTGTAGACCAGACTAGACAGAGATCTGCCTGCCTCTGCCTCCAAAGTGCTGGGATTAAAGATATGTGCCACCATGCCAGGCCAAGATAACCTGTCTTTTT